TTTAAAATGTTAGACGTGGTTTGAATGACGTCAACTATGAGGTGAGAGAATTGAATGTACCTAGATTGGCGTCGGGCGCCAAAGGAGTGGTGTTAGGCATGAGGAGAGAGACTTGTCTCTACCTAATTTGGAGTCGAGCGTATAACTTTGCCATGTCAGGTGTGAGGGCTTACGGGGTCTTTACCTGATCCATGTCGGATGCAGGTTGAATGACGTTGGGCGTGAGTGAAGCAGAGGACTCCTTACCTCAATGGCATTGGGTGCAAGGTGGATACCTTTGGGTGCAAGTTATTCTTTAATGATTTGATGCTTATACGATTGATTGTAAACATGTTTTGGATTGATGAATCTATTGTGTGTTGTATAATGGGTGTTACTAGTTCTACATATATTGATATAGGATAATATGTATATATGTTTATAATTATTGATTGTCGAAGTGCAAATATGTTGTAAATTGCTTAGCGTTGTGAGATTTATATTCATTGACCTATGGTAATTCATATAGATGGATATTGTTAAGGTGTGATGTTGATAATGCTTTGGGCATGATTTGCTGACCTATTGAAGTGTTGATGTTGAGAGTGTTACACATACTAAGGCATGTTAATTAACTTGGGATTAAAGGAGATGTTGTGTCTTGAAAGTTGTATATTTCATTATATGGATATTTGTGTTGTGCTCTAGGAATCTAATTTTTGAAAACTCTTGTTTAGTAAGTGTTATCTCTTGTAATGGATTATTGAATCTCTTATAGATCATTGATTGATGTTGAAGTAAGGTATAAAGTCGAAAGCTACAGTCCTTAATTAATTATTGGAAAAATGTCTAGTATCACAAAGATAGTTAATTGGGTTGTAATCCATAAGGGATTTGGTCAATACATGCCAATGATGTGGTAAGATCATACCCAACTATGTTATACTTGATTGTGACACTGGATTTTCATAGTTTAAGTGACGACATCCAAGAAATCATGTGTAGGATTTATATCCAATTAGTTGCTGATCTAGTAGGCATGAAAGGTGTGAAAAAGATCAACTGATTTAGTAAGATCAAACCACTTAAATTGTTCATCTTGGTGTAGGAGAATCTTGTAAGCAAATGCACGACGACACATTAATTAAGGTGTATGCATATGATATGATGTTACTTAATGTTGTTTATAAGCTTTGGTGATTACATGGTTGTATGACATAGTTGTGGTGAAAGTTTAATTTGCTTAATTTTGTTTGCTTTTCAAACTTGTTGATTCCATGTGGAGTGTTGTACAATGTAAGCCACATGCATGTTAGATGGTTTACATGTCGTCATTAGTAGTATATTTGTATTTCATTTATAATTGTTATATGTTGATTCTTTTGAAAATCTAACATATCCTTACATATTTTTCTAGTAGTTGAACTACAATGATCATGTTTTCATGAGAATAAGATATGGTTAGCTGAATGCATGACGTAATTTTGTGTGGCTATGTTGCTGATGACAAACCTGATTTTTTTAAGTTACTTTGATACAACTACTTTTGATAAAGTTGTTTGACCAACAACTTATAATTAATATCCAATACTAAATTATTGTACATAGTCTACATACTTGTATAGTTATTTTATATCTTTAATTGTTTTAAATTTTACATGTATATATTATTTTACATATATCCAAGTATTATTTATATATTAATCATAGGTAGTTAGATGTTATTTTATTCTCCTACAAGTAAGAGTAAAAACTATAACGGATTGTTACGGTTTCAAATTATAAGTTATTTATTATAAATCTTAAATATAACTTATATAATAAAAAAAATTATTTATTATGAATTTCAGTTATATAAAATAAAATTTAATTATTATAACATAGTTTATATTTAAAATTATTTATTATAAATTTTAATTATATAAAATATAAAATATCATATATAATAGTTCTAATTCTAATTAAAAAGTACCAACACTTAAACAAACTGCAATAATAGAAATGCGGATTGATGACCGGTAGCAATTAGCGATGCTATTTTATGTGTCTACGAAACTGTGCAACAAACAATCTTGTTATGTTCGATTTGCCTTGAATGGCTAACTCAACTTTAATACAAGCATGCTTTTATACTCAATCAAGTCCTTTCTCTTCCTTTCTCTAAAGTCTAAACATCCCCAATACCACTTTTTGTAAATTTCTTTTAAGATCTATCCTCTCTTTCATTTCGTCATCAGCATTTATTTCTTCCACTAAAACACAATCAATCACAACAATGATTTCCATGTGATCACTCTCATTCTTTTATTGTTATCATTTCTATATCACGACTACTTTTTCTCGTCATCTCAACAACCACAATTCACATGTTGTTTGTTTTGCCATTTTCAGAAACACCAGCATTCTTTACAACCACCATGATCACTCTCATTCTTCTTGACTTTTTTATTTGGGAAACAAATCATTTGATTTGAACCATTAAAACAATAGCTTCTTTTACCCGATTTAAAGAATATGTAAGCACATGCACGTAACAATGTCTGTCTTTTCACTCACAATAACAATGTGTGTAGCCATGTATATAGATATTTTTAATAAAAAGACAATAACACATTTTTAGTGATCTCTGCCATTATTCTTCTCGGTTGCAAAATATTTTTAATGCAAATAAAATAATAATGATGCTAAATACATTTTGACACTATATTATAAATACTTGTAAAAATGACAAATGATCTGGCAAATATAGATTATATCATGAAAATTGAGTAGTTAAAAATAAATAATAACATTTATTCTTGTATGTTTAGTTGAAGGAGTGATAAAATGAATCAATTTATTTATAGTAGAAAATGATGGATTGATCAACTTTAGTGAATTAGTGCATTATAAATAATGAATTAGTAAATTATATCGTCTTTAAATCATCTAAATTTAAAGAAAAAAAATATCTCAATTGAAATATTTCAATATACATTATCAATTCAATCTATTGTTTTATTATTATTTATAAAATTGATTAGAGAATTTCTATTTTTTTCATACAAAGGACTAAAGTAATATATAATTTTATTAAAAAGACACTATACATGAAAATATACTAGTAGAAAAATATGATCAAAATAATATACTTATATTTTATATAAAATGAGAATAATTACATTAAAAGAGAAGTTGAGTTATAAAATAAAAACATTGATCTAATATAAATTCATTCCAAAATCATCTTTTAAAAACATAAAACATAAAAAAAATAGTGAAATGGTAGATTGACTCAACGAAATTACATGTTAAACCTATTAGATTGGATAGATAAGTGAGTTTATTTATTTAATTAAAAAAAAAAAGATTAATAATTTGATCTATAAAATTTAACCTACATTATTATCTTCTTTTTGGTGTGTGTCACGTTAATGACATAAGAAAATTGTGAAGTGAATAATAATTATTTTTGTGATATTTAAATTTTGTTTTTTTTTACATGAATTTACACTTAGAACCAAACACATACCATGTAGAAACGAAGTTGTATAAAAAGAGTATGACTCTTTATTTTATTTCCTTGAGTTTAACAATAAGTTAATAGTTATTTTATTTCTTAGAAAAAAAATTAAGTTAATCATAAAATAAATTTTTTCTTTAAAAAATAAAACATTTTTTTTTTGCGAAATTGCAGTCATACAAAACAAAATAACTAGTATTATTATCCACTCTTATAATAGAACTTTCTATATATTCTTATTGCAGACAAAAAAAAAAGAACGTTTTTAAAGATTATTCTCATTTTCATTGCATCATATAACTTTTGCTACAATAATTTTTAATTGCTTAATTTTGACATTTCAAAAAATATTTAAAAAATAAAAAAAATTGTAGATCAAAAAACACGTGATTGAAGGGATAAATTCCACAAAAAAGTTAAGTTCTTTTAAAAAAAATAGTTATTAACAAAAAATAGTGAATATTCTATATTAACAATATAGTTATAAAAATATTATTTTTAAAAATTAATTTATACTAATATTTTAGTCTATGTATTTCATACGTTAAATATTTATTATATATAATTAATTTTTATAATAAATTATGCATACAAATAAATACTATATTTAAACATATAGATTATATTTAAAATTTGTATAAACAATTTTAAATAATTTATATACAACAAAATATTATTTTTTGATTATTTATAATTTATCTAAAATTATTAAAACAAAAAAGTTGAATTAGTTAGTAAGTTAAAATAATTCTTAAAAATAGAATTTTGGTTTGTATGATTATATATGATATAATTAAAATTTATAATAAATTACACATATATAAATAAATATTATGCTTGAATATATATATATATATATATAATTAACATACATAAATATTTTTAAACATATAAATTATATTTTAAATTTATGATAAATAATTTATATTATACCAAAAAATTATTTATAATTATTGATCATTTATTTTAAAAAATATTAATATTTAATTCATAGTTAATCACGATAAATAAAAATTAAATTTGATAAAAATTAAAAATTCATATAAACACTGTTTATGTTTAATATATAAAAATTAATTTTGTATTTTGGACATGTATTTTTTATTATTTTATTGTTTAGTTAAACAAACAATTTGATAAATATTGATAAAAATAAACAATACAAAAAAATTATGAATACAAAATATTATAACTGTGACAATTTGTTATAGCCTCTACACTTGGTTAAATTCTTAAATAACAGTGAAATTATTAACATACTAAAGATCATACGTTAATACATATGTAATATGTAAAATAAAAATTTGTAATTTTTTTTATGATTATGTTATTAATACATATTACTTTATAAAAATGAACTTTGTTTGAATACAATTTATGGTCTAAGATAACAGTAATTCGAGATGAAAAAGAAGCGGTAAGTTGTAACAGTTAAAATGGACATGGGCTAAAACTTGAAGCGTCTACATATTTCCGTATTATGGATCATAGAACTTACCCTTTCTTTTTATGTGGCAACGTTTTTTTCGGAGAAAAAAAAGGGAAAACAGATAAAGGGAGGGAGAGTGAGTGGGAGCTAATGAGACGAATACACAATGAAGGTCGGCGGCGTCGTGTTATACGGCGGAGCTCCACGGGGCAGCGTCGTGCCTCTGCTTGTCAGCCGCCGCAGAGTTTCCCTTCGCGTCTCTTCTTACTCCTCCATTTCTGGTAACGCATTCTTCTTCTTCTTCTTCAAACCGTTTCGCTCTTTCTTTTTTCATTTTTCGTTCTTCCGTCGCAGACCACGTCTCTTTCGTGAAGGATGTCGCTGCGACTCAGCCTCCTCAGCATCTTTCACAACTCCTCACTATTTTGAAAACCAGAGGTAGCTTCGTTCCTCGAAAATCACAATACTGTACTACAATTAACTGTTACTGTGCAATCAATTTGTCCATCTTTCTATTATAAATTGTACCGTAAATCTTAATGGAATCTCAAGTTTAGAGTAATTGTGAATATTTATTTTGTCAATGTACTTGAACATGTGATTTGGATTATTTTGGCATATTAAATTGTGTATGCGTATGTGCGGTGCGGCTTGAATTACTTTCTCTGAGGAATGATTTTAATTTTTTAATAATTTAATTAGTTTTTTTTTTCATGCTTTTGTGTTATAACAGGTGAATCTATTGTCTCTCCTGGTGCCAGGCAAGGATTAATACCTCTTGCTGTACCACTGTCGAAAAATAGCTCTGGTATGGGTTTAGGGTTTAGTGCTTTGAGAAAATTTCAAGTTTGGCACTGTTTGTGATTATTTTCTTGGTAGGTAATGTAACTGCGCTGCTGCGGTGGCCAACGGCTCCACCCGAGTAAGGCTCAATGGCTGTTCTCTGCGGTGATTAATTTACTGCTGTTTTGATTATCTTATGGTTATGAGCACCTGCAGGATGGAAATGCCAGTGGTGGAAGTCAGAAAATATGGAGTATGGCTTTTAGCTAAGAGTGTAAGTGGAGCGTGTTTGGTCTTTTGACTGCATCGCTATGTTTGATTTTGATACATTGTGATGTTGATTAATTTGGCACTCGAGATGGTGTTATTTTAACTGTCTGACTACATATAGGTAGACCAATTTATACACCGAGCATTAGTTGAGGAAGATGCAAAGAGTGGTCAAGAGAGAAATGAAGAAGTATTTTATGCTTCCGGTGATGCTGGGAAGAAACTTTACAGAAAGGGTGATTTTGCAGAGTCTGGAATTTCTAACCTAGATGTCTATCTTTTGAAAAAGGTATTAATAAGTTTCTGGACTGTGTTTTTGACCTTCGTAGCAAATCATTACAAATATCTAATTTGTTTTCAGGTTGGTATATTTCCAGATATCTTAGAGCGCAAAGTGACGCGGCATTTTGAGGAAGGAGATCATGTAAGATGCTCTTGCGTTTAGTTGGTTCCTCAAGCATTAGCCATTAGTGTAAATTAATACATGTTGGTCATGTCTGTGTGTGGGAAGGTTTCAGCTTTAATAACTGGGGAATTTTACACCAAGAAGGAGCATTTTCCAGGATTTGCACGACCTTTTGTGTTCAACGCTGAGGTTTTGTTAAGGTTGGTGTTAACATTTTCTGTTACTTTGAGTTCAAGATGGGAAATCTGAGTTCGGAGCTTACCATTTTCAACTTCTAAGGAGCTTTTCTTTTTAATATTTTTTTACAGGGTTGGGCGTAAAGTAGAAGCTAAAGATGCCGCAAGGGGAGCTTTGAAATCACCATGGTGGACCTTGGGCTGCAAGTATCATGTATGAAAATCATTATCATTTTGGTTTTCTGGTTTAAGTTAAGCTTGTGCTCGATCTCTTTTTCTTCTGTACTTATTTTCTTTCCTGTCCCCCTATATTTCTTCTGTCATATTCGTTTTTGTTTAGGACGTGGCTAATATAGCACAATGGGATGATGAACAAATTGAGTACATTAAAGAGAAGGTGACTGAACAGGGAAGGCAAGAAGATCTTAAAAAGGGGAAGGCCCCTGCACAGGTACCATACAGTGTGAAGTATTTATTGATTTAATGACTATCATGGCTATAACATCAAATATTCATGGCTAGAGTGTATACTGATATTCTTCTTAATCTTGCTTTCATCTTCAAATCAATTGCAGGTTGTACTAGATGAAGCTGCTTTCTTGTTGGATTTGGCTTCTATAGAGGGAGAATGGGATGACTATTTAGAGCAGATAGCCAAATGTTATGAGGAAGCAGGACTTCATGATATTGCAAAATTCATACTTTATAGAGATTAATACTACCAGATTTTCTTTCCGCCAACATGCTTCAGTACATTTCCATTTCGGCGTTTCCAAATATGAAGTTTTGGAAATAATTAGAGGAAAATTATACGATTCATTCCGCAGTTGGATATTTTTCCTTGAGTTCTCATTCCGTTGCAATCAATTTAACTTGAACTCCTAGATGCCTATTATGTATCATGCACTACATGTAAGAATAATGATATTTTTGAACTCTTAATTCACTTGTCTCGTCTCCCCCCCCCCCCC